GCTTCCTGGGTTGCAAAACGTGAAACAACTCATTTCAAGGAAAATACTTGGGTCTGTGAAGACACATATCTGTTGCAAGTCTGTCTGTGTGCAAATGTTTAAAGATAGGATTTTGACTTTAAAAAGAGTTTTTAGGGTAGGTAAAATGACTCAGCCCAACTCTTGTAGCCCAAGCCTGATGGTCTGAACTTGATCTCCAGAACCCATGTGAAGATGGAGAACTACTGACATTAATAGAATTGTCTCCTGACATCTACACATGCACCATGGCACACATCTTACACATATGTGCAAAGAATAATCAAGTTTAAACTTTTAAAAACAGAGTTTTTTTAGATCACCAAATGCAAGCATTCCCACATGAACCCCAGCTGATTTGTGTGAAGGAAAAGCAAGTACAGGGCAGAATAAACAGCCTCGCCTTTGTGTCTGGCTTTTGATCTTCTAGTTCTGCGGCTCACTGGCCTTGTGGCCTCATGCAGGGCCTGTTTCTACATTTAGTAACTGGAGTAGTGGATGATGTCCAAATCATACAAATGCCCTGAGGGCAAAATCCCAGCATATTTGTAGCTTTCGAGCAGTGTGTCTTGCCGAGCACGCAGGTGACTGGTGGTCCACGGGTTGTGATGACTGTGTGTATGTGGAGGAATGTACACCAGAAGGGAACTGCCAGCTCATATGATCTGTGCCCTCCAGTTCCTCATCGTCCTCCTGTTGAGTCAGGTGCTAGAGAACTAAGGCGTAGTACTTAGACTGCCTGGCTGGCTTGTGTCTCTGAGCCAGGGGCATCTCTCTAACCCAGTCGTCTTCTCCCTGGTTGAATGAGCACATGAGAGAGTTCCTCCCTCCTGGAAGGTCTGCAGTATGACCAGCTATGCATGCAGATCTTTGAGGTTCCCTCTGCCCTGGAGGAGGCTCTGAGTAAGGCTTTGGTGGGTGGTTTTTCATGTGCTCTTAGTACATTAAGTAGAACATAGGCGAACACTGCAAGTTCTTAGATGCAGTAGCTAGAGGCTGTTGGGGTTTGGTTGTTGGTCTAAGTATCACTTAGTAGTCATTTTTTAACAGGAAATCTCTCCCCTTCAAATAACTAGAATTAAGAAAGTGCTAAATGGGAAGCCTTAAAATAAGGTGGAAGAGTGATTGAAGGAGACACCT